AGCTCCCGAAAGCCCGCGGGTGGCACAGGCGAGGCTGGAAGGAGGCAGGGACGGTGCGGAGCAGCGAGGCGGGCGCACGCGGCGGGGCGCGGCGGCGGGGCGGGGGGCGTGCGAGCCCCACCGCGGCTCGGGCCGCAAAACCGCGAGCTGCCGGACAGCCGGCTGCGGCGCCACAGGTCACAGCCGACCAGGGGCGGCACCTCGCTCACCCGGTGATGGCAGGTACCGTTATTTCATCCGTACTGAGGAATTGTGAAAATCTGTTGAGCAATGAATGTAAACAAAAAGTTGAAAATACGTTTGAAGATATAACAGTAATGGCATTTTGAAAAGTAATGAAGAAAAAATTTGCCAAAGTGATCAAAGCTTTTAGGACTGTTACTTCACAACACAGCAACATAAGACATGGAGGCTATCAACTGGCCAAAATAACTCTCCAGCAAATCCACCAAGAGGGGTTTATTCGGGAAAAGGAAAAGAAACGAGACCACACCAGAAGCGTACAAATGCACACTTCCACCCAGAGGGCTAACCAGCTGCACACGTGCAAGAAAGAGAGTGTTCCCAAGAAGGCATCTACATTTATTTTAATTCCTTCTAGGGAAGTTACCACAAAGTTTAACAGGAAGTCAGGACTAGAGTTAACAAGGGGCCCAGCTCCGCCCCATAGTCCTCCCAGCTCTGTGGTTAATCATCTTCAGCTGTCAGTTCACTTTTATCAAGACTCACGCTATCTGTGCCTGTGTTGGGATGTAGGACTCCCTAATTTCCTCAGTTCACCAGGAATGGTTAAAAATACGATGGTTTGGAGGTGGCTCTGGAGTGCAATGGATAGCACATTGGACTTCTAAAAATGTGATGCTTTGGGCCGGCCGAGTGGCTCAGTTGGTTAGGAGTTGGCTTGGGACGCCAGCTCTGAGCAGCAGGGCCCTGGTTCAGATCCCACATGAGGGCCAGTGACGCTGCGCCCTGTACAGCTAAGATGCTGAACAACAGCTCTACCTGGAGCTGGGCTGCCGTGAGTGGCTGGCAGCTGACGAGAGCTGCCATGAGGCGTCATGAGCGGCCGTCCAATGGCTGGTGGCCAACTGCCTCAGCCAGGAAGAGCTCAGTGTTCATAATACCAACATGGGCCAGTGAAGCAACGTCCTCCACAACTAGACTAAAAAACAAAAGGACAGCAACTTGTCTGTTCCCCTTCCCCAAATTCCCCAACGCTGTTCCCCTCCCCCAATTCCCCAGTAAAAATCTTTAAAAAAAAGTGATTTATCTGGCTTCCAGAACCATGAGAGAATAAATTCCCATTGTCTAAAAAACAAAGTAGGGTGCTTTATTAAAGGACTTTATTTTTTTCTTCCTTAAAACTAAAAACACAAAACCTTGATTAAAAATCTTGTTTGGCAAACCAATCAACTGAAAAAAGCCTCCTGTAAAATACTGGATAAAAATGGCAATCACTCTTAAATGCAAAGGAGAATTCACCAGCAAGCACAGGAAATGACCAGGGGGCAGAAGCAGAGGGAGGAGAGAGTGAGGGGAGTGAAAACTGCAAAACTGCTGCTGGAGCAAGGATGTGGGGGTGCTGACGCCCAGGGTGGGGTTTTCACACCCACATGGGGCAGATAGGGCCACAGCTCTACAGGAGTGCCCTGAGACTCTTCCATGAAGCCAGGATGTTCAAAGGGTGCACTGTCAGTGCGGGAGTGGACCCGGGGAAGGAAACAGAACCCCGAAAGCAGTGAGACGGCCTGCTCTGCAGCGTCCTGAGACCCATGTGTGTTGTGGGGGAACAGAGACCTTGATTTGGTCCCACTTACACTTTGCTAAATCCACATGTTGACCATAACCACCAAAGAAACAGTTGTGACCGCCAAACAAATGGGGGGAGATGCACGGGAAACACGTGCTCCCATGTGGACAGTAAGAAAGGAGGAAACGCCAAACGGTCTGCGTAAGTGTGAACACAAAACAAGTAGAGATATGTCCAAATGTATCAACTATCAGAACACAAGTGGATGGATTTTAAAGCAGCAAAAGAGTTAACGAATGAGAAAACCTCATGAATAAAGAACGGGACGGTTAGGCGTGGAGGAGGTTTGCACATGGCCAGTTGGGGCTGCGAAAGCCGGTTTCAGACAAAATGGGCTTAATGTCAAAGACACTGTCACAGAAAAATTATTTTCTTAAGATGCTAAATACATAGGCTACAAAGAGACAGCTTGCTGTGCTAAAATCTCAAACTGTTGTATGATTTTAAAATATCCTTAAATGAAAGAAACCAGGCGGGTGCTGCCCGGCCAGGCCAGCATCCTTAAGAAGGCCATGCATACCGTCCAACCACAGCCCAGGGGCGTTCCCACTGATCTGCTGTCCCTTCACACCTGCGAGCCCTGCAGGACCTTGTCCCACCCTCCCCTCCCTGTCCCCTCACCTGCAGGTCACCTCAGGTCTTGGCTCAAAGGCAGCCTGCCAGCCGGCCTTCCCACAAAACTGCCACCAGGTGCCCCCCGCCCCCCAATGTGTTTGTGTAGCACCTGTCCCCTTGTGCTGCACTACAGAACTTGGTGGTTCTGTGGTCACTTCTCTTCCCTTCCCCCGTGCACACGTGGGTGCACACACGGTGTCAGCTCCAGCACAGCACTGATGTCCGTGTCCTTGCTGTGTCCCCATCACAGGGCCTGGCATTCAACAGGGACTGAACCACTACTGTTGAATGGCAGAAGGAAATACATGAAACAACTGCCATCTCACATCCCCTGAAGGACAAAACCAAAGCGTCTGACAACACCCAGTGTTGAGGGGACGTGAGCCCCAGGGGTGCTGGTGGGGTGTTGCTATGGTCTGAATGTTTGTGTCCCCCAAACTTCATTCACTGAAACCTGACACCAAAGGTGACAGTGTGAGATGGTGGGCCATGGGAGGTGCTTAGGTCGCAAGAATGAGTGTCCTAAGAGACCCTCCTCCCACCAGTGAGGACACAGCACCCTGATCTCCAGGTCCCACCTCCACAATGTGACAAATAAGTGTCCATCTGTGGTGTACTTACAGCAGCTGAAACAGACGGAGGCACGCATGAGCAGGACCGTTGGCAGCACTCTTGGGGTGCCCGCAGCCCCAAGAAGCACATCGGGGGGGTCTGAGATTGACCCCCATACCTGGCTGTCCCCACAGAAGGGGGGTAGTCATGTGATGGAGTGAGAGTGGGTGGCCCCATCTCAGGTCTCAGCAGAGTGAGTCTGAAGAGTACGGGCAAGACAGGGAGGGGCATGGGGACAGAGGGTGGGCAGAGGGAGCAGCTGGGCGTGGCCCAGCACACAGGGGCTGGCTGGTCCGCTCTCCCCTGGGAAAGACACAGGAGCCTCAGGACCACAAAGGCTGGACCTGCCAGCAGAGGCAGATCATGCTCTGTCCAGGGCACCTGAAGCTTGTTCAGTTTTGGGGGTGCTCTTTGACCAAACGAAGGAAACCAAACCACTGTCCCTGGGCCTGGGCCGTGATGACCATTGTCCCCGCAGGGATGACCAAACACCTGCCACCAGGGCCTGGGTCCAGCAGGGCTGACCCCACGGGGTCGGGGGTCTGCTCCCTATAGGACAGGTCAAGCCTGGGGTGTCCTGAAGGTTCACCCACCCTCAGTGCTGGGCAGGAGAGGGGCTGGCGGATGAAGGAGGTAGTGCTGAGAAGCGTTGCTGGGCCACAGCAAGGGCTGCCCAGGCGGCCTCCCTGTGACTGGGCTCCGAGTTCACGTTCACTTTCATTACTGCCTTCCATCCAGTGGGGAAAGACTCTTAGAATGTAAGGTCACCAACACATACTTTAAAGGAAATAAAGTGACTTCATTTGAAACATCAAGTAGATGCTTCCATTTATGGTAAACACATATTAACGTGATTTATTTTACACCAATATTGCAAACGTAATGGAACTATAGTATCAGAAATATATTTGAAAGCTCTTTTAAATGGCACTGAGAAAACCAGAGTTACATTATAGCACATCCATGTAAAGTTCAATAAATCTTTTTCTTCCAGTAGAAACTACAAAAGTATAAAATAGAATTTGTGTTTGTCTCCTCCCTTCCCTCCGCTTCTTGATTTTAGCATGTTTCAGCTACACAGACCAAAGCTACAGACGGCAGAAGCACACAGCCTGTCACTGGTCCCGACAAGGACCCTTCAGAGCAGAAGTGACCACATTGCACCACCTGTACCCCATCATCGTCTTCCCATTTTCAGGGGGGCATGGACATAAAATAACAGAGGTGCTGACTCAGGACATTCTGTGGCTGCAGACCCAGCAAGGGAAGGGGCCTGGGCCCAAGCACAAGGACGTCTCAAGAACACAAAACCTGCGGAGTAGAGGTCCAGGTTCTGAGTTCTGTATCAATGAAGCATCACCTGTCTGCCCACCTGCAACCAACTTGGTGCACATGATCCAAGGACAATGAGGACACATGGGTTCATGAATGTTGAGAGGAGGTAGGGCAGCAGGGCACCACGGCCCCGGTGGGCAGGACGGGGCAGCAGGGCACCACGGCCCCGGTGGGCAGGACGGCTAAGTGTGTTTGGAAGGGCTTCTCCTCACGTGAGGCTCAGGCCTGCAGCTCTTCTTTGGTTCTGTGGGGTCTGGCGACAGTGCAAACATGCGATGACGGCTCTGAACCCCGTCAGGCCCAGTTACACATCACAAGTCTGCAGAACCGCCTGTCTGTTCACCCTAGAGGGAAGGGCAGCCCCTGCCTCCCCTCAGTTGAGTGAAGTGAGAGGAGGTGCTGAGGAGAACCCTCCCCGGCAGGAAGAAGGGACGGCTCCTGAGGACACGCGGCTCCCATGGCGAGGGGCCGGCTGGCATCGCTCTGACCGGGAGGGAGCAGGGAGACTGCATTCAATCCCTGGACGCCCAGGGGGCAGAGGTGTGCAGTGCTCGGAGAGACGTGGGTGGACAGGGGACACTGAGCCAGCGTGGGCCGAGGGAAGCAGGTGATCCTCAGGGTGGCATCTGCCACACAGTGTCGGCATCAACCTGGGAGCTGAACACTAACACCCCAAAGCACCAATGACAGAGAAAGACCCTGTGCTAAGCACAGAACATTCCAGATGGTGGAGCAGCAAGCGCTCACCAGGGGGCTCCTGCCACCTCCCAAGACGCCCAAGTGGAGGTGACTTTAAGGACAGGTGTCCTTGTCCCTGAGGTGGAGGGGTCTGTCCACCCCAGCACAGGCAGGCAGGCGGGCGGCCGGGGACCCCGGAGCTCAGGGCCTCCCAGCTGCCTCCTGCTTGGTGCTGGTTTTCACACCCCGAGGTGATGCCCTGGGACCCCCGGAACTTTTCCAGCAGCCACAAGGCATCTGTGGGTGGGGATTGAGGGTCACCTTCACGTTCTGATTTATGCTTTGTATCCAAATTTCCTACAATCAGAACGTATTACCTTTATAATTTTTTTTTAAACATTACCTGTCTTGTCTCTAGTAATTCCTCCTTGGATGGTGGTTGGAGTGCTCATTTGAGAAACTGTAGACAGCCGGAAAGACAGCCAGACACCACAACTTCCCGCTTCTTTCCTGTTCTCACCTTTTCTGCCTCCAAACCCACTCTGGACTCGGTCACATGATGCACTGAGACTTCTGAGCCCATTCAAGACCCGGAGAAGCTTCTAAAAGGGACACGACCCCGTGAGTCTCCACTGCAGGTTGAGGACCGGTGCCCCTTCTGCCTGGAACTTTCTAGAGTCCTTCCGCGAATGGGTGCATGGTCTCCTGCAGTGGAATTACAGCCCTAACTTACTGCCTCAGCCTCCCTGGGTGTGGCCACCTCTGCAGTCGCAGAGGAGCTGGGGCTTCAGGACGTCACCTCAATGCTTTCCCTTTCCCAACGGGACATGACTGGCCGCAGGCGGAGCTGCAGCCTGGAGGACGCCCCATGAGCCCACGCAGTTCACTTTGGCTGCTTCCTGAAAAATGCTAGTCCCTCAGAGAGAAACACTGTCACACTTGAACAGACTCAAGGCCACTTTGCACCTGAGGGCTCTGGTGATGCTAGAAAATACAGATATGCTGCTGCATCTGCTGCCCACAGGTGACGGGCGAGCCTGTGCGACTGCAGAGCGACGGACAGGAAAGAAGGGTTCCAACCCCACTGGCCCGGTTGATGGGGAAATTGGAGCGCGGACGGACGCCATGTTAACAAGCGCCCGGCTCTATGGCAGGAAAGTGTACTCGGAGGCTGTGGATGGCACCAGTGTTGCCAAGGCACTTTTAGGGAGAATCCCAGGCACCCCACCCTGGCTGTGAGAGGCCCACGGTGGGGAGTCCAACGGCTCGCGCTTGATCACGGGTGGGGTTCCGGGAGCTCTGCAGTCACAACCCAGAGCCGGGGGCTGGTGGCCCCGCACACAGAGGCAGGGGGGAACCTCCAGGCACATGCAGGGTGCAGGGTGGACTGGGGCCAGCTCCCTGCCGGGCCTGGGCGGGGCCCTCGGCATGCCGTGCCCCAGATGCGGGGCATACAGATGGGGCCTAGAGTCTGGCTCCGTTTTCAGGTGCATCCTTGTCGGGAAAGTGACCAGCTGTCTCTTGGCCATGTCACTGGCTCCCAGCCACACCTGGCTTGGGGACACGGAGTAGCCATCTGCTGCGTCCTCTGACCCACAGTCACTCTCCATCTTGATGGGCACATCAAGGGACAACATGGGGTTGCACGGGGCCCCAGGGGGCATGGGCACGCCTCGCAACTTGATGTCCTCGGTGGAATAGGCTCCTGCTGCGAGGCGCTGCACGCTAGGCTGAGGGAGCCGGCTCTCCAAGCTCCCCTGGGGGAAGGGGCAGTTGGGAGGGTGCACCTGGCTCTGAACGCCATCCCGCAAGGCTCTGCTGGCCCGGCTGGCGTAGGCACTGGGGGGCTGGTGGCAGCTGGGGGAGTTCTTGAAGGCACTGACGCTGCCGGCAGGGATGGTGCCTGGGGTGTCGGGGTAGGGCAAGCCGGAGACCCGGGAAACAACAGGCACAGAGAGCGGGTCACTCCTGCTGAGCTCCAGCTTCAGCTTAGCGCCGTCCTGACCGTGCTTTCCTGTCACCCAGTTCAGGTGCCTCATGGGTCTCGGTGTCTGGAAGCGGCAGTCGTATGCGTGTATTTCCCTCCGTGCCCTCACCCCCGAGGAGCTGCTCGGCACCCACTCGTGCTCCTGGCGTGCCCTGTCCCTGCGGAGAGGAGAGGGCCCATCAGACAGAGCGGGAGCAGTGATGAGGGCGGGCTCTAAGTTCGGGTGATGCCTGCTTAATCTGTCAGGTGCCCACTCAACCTGCCCCTCTCAACCTGCCCGCAGCCTTATGACACCAGTGCCAGCGTTCTCCCTTCCTGTGTGTGACCCTCTCACAGCCTCCCGGGCACCTGGTGGGGGTCCATGAGGACACGCCAAGTGTGAAGGGTCAACCACATTAGTGGCTACTAACAGGGCAGGGAGGTCCAGGTGGTTTCTGTGCACCAGGCCCTGTCGCTGGCCATGCTGCTGCCATGTTCATGACATGGTGTGACATCACCTCTGGTGACAGCGGAGATGGTGACCAGGAGGGCAAGGTGGAGCCTGGCAACCGCACAGCCTGGCCAGTCCTCCCAGAGGAGACCCACTGGTCAGGGAAGGGAGCCCAGAGCTTGGTGGGGCGGGGCGAGTGCAGAGGGTTTCTGAGCTAAGGTGAGGGTGGAGGATGGGGTGCTCCCCCAGGGCCCAGGCTGTAGGCAGAGGGGGAGTCCAAAGGCCCTGGCAGTCCTGGCTGAAGCCCCGACTGTCCCAGACCAGTCCCCACACATATAATGACAACTTCTAGGACAAGAAACATGTCTGGGTGTGTTCCGTGTGTATCTGCACGTTCTGCTAACAGTGAGATTTAGTTGTCATGGTCGAGGCCACCAGACCTGCCACCAATCACTCTTCCTTCTTAACACCGAGCTGTGACTTAGGAAGGCGCCAGCTGGGCAGAGGCACCACTTACCCTGCAGCCCCCTCGGGGTCAAGGACGAGGTCAGGGCTGCCCCTAAGGCACAGGCACGTGGCCCTGGCTGGGACCCGGGCCCAGCGACAGGCGTCCATTTGTGCCCTGAACACCGAAATGCCGTTTTCTCCATTGTTCCTTCCTGTCAAGAGTCAGAGAAGGGAAGGCAGTCACTGCGTGAACCGAACAGCGCCTGGACCCAGCAAGCAGCTCTGTTCTCAGAGGTCGTGACTCATGCAGTTCCTCAGAAATGCACAGACCAGCACCCACACGAGCTGGTCAGCGTCCCAGCTCACTCCAAAGGGCATGTCCATGGAACACACCACGGTGTCCAGGGAGCAGTGACAGCCCTCCAAGGGACACAGATGACACACCCATTTTAAAAAGGTGACACAGTGAACTTTTAAAAGTACCTGCTAAGTAATTGGGTTTTCCACGCAACTCTGCCTCACACAGACTCCTGGTAGCTTTTGCTCTGCAAAGAACAGATAACAGCAAACAACATGCAGGTTAATTGTGTTGACGGTGGAAGTCAACAGCACGACAGGCGTCACTGTCGTGCCTCGGCAGGGAAGACACAACAATAACACACGTTTCAGCCTCGTACAGACTGTAAAGCCTTTCCTCAGCTATCAATTTGCTGAAAATTCCAATTTGCGTCACTTTTGAGGCCAACGAAGGGTAATGAATTTGCTTCAGAAAGTAGACTGGCACACAGAATGGGTTATCAGTGCTTTGGCTTTATTCTGGATGGCCAGAGTGAAAATACGGCCGAATCTTGTCATCTGCAGCACTCATGCTGTGGAGGTCACTACGGTCACTAAGCTGGTGAGGCCTGAGCCCTTACCAAGCGCGCCCACACACGCATGTGCAAGCACATACACACACACACACACACGCACACACTTTCGCATGCATACCGCATACAGCTTATGCGCAATCCTAAATCCTGAGGAAACTCCTGCTAGATTCTTTTAAAAAATTACTTCTCAAGAGAAAACCGAGGCTCAGAAATGTTAGGTGGCTTGCCTGGCGCCACCCCGCTAGCAGAGGCAGGAATGGGAGTCAAATCCCCTCCCCCGGCCAGAGCGCTGCTGCCCCAGCTGCCTGTGCCTCCCTGGTTGTCTCTGTGGGAGCCCAGACGGAGACAGAGGAGGGGGTGGCTCCCCAGTCGGAAAGAGCCCCGGCGGCTCTGCACGTCCCGGGATGGCTGTGGGAGCCCTGGGCGTTGGATCCGGAGAGGCGGATTCACACATGCGGAGCCCGGGAACGTCGCGGGACAGCGTGTGGCCTGAACGTTGGCTTATGAACTCCATTCAGAGCAGCTGGGAGCTCCCCACCCCAGACGCCCAGGAAGGCGTTTGCTTCTCCTAGGGCCTTCGCGTCCCCTTCTGCGTTTTAGTGACACCCAGCACAACGTGGTGCCTGGCAGCGACTGGGCTGTCGA